AACGGTCTGACCGCGATATCATCTTTTGTTGGCTTACCGCGGCCCCAATATTCGTTATCAAAATTGGGTAGAGGCGGCAGTTGGAGCGATGAGTGAATTTTAATTCCCAAGTAAACAATAAACGTCGTGGATAAAAGTAAGAACACTTTTCGAAAGAATCCCATCTTTACACAAACAACAACAGCACACCAACTAGGTACGCTAATATTATACTGTCGGGAGTGGGACCGCGGGTGTTTAATTAAAGTGGGTACTTACTTAACTAATAATAATAAGGTTTATTTGTGCCTTAAATACATAATTAAAACATAACAACAACAAAAAAAGTAGTACCTAGCTCAAAAAAGGAGCGAATTCGGCAATGCCGTTTTTCAATTCACCCTTTGAAAACCAAAAAGAGAAAAAATCGCTTTACAAAACTAAATATTATTACTTATATAAAGTTCTTTGAAGGAATTACCTAACTTTTAAATTTAAGTTATGCATGACAGATCTGCTAATTAGCAGTTGACATAAATACAGTGGTAGGTACTTTGCATTGTAACAATTTATATAAAAATAACGTGTATTGATATCTGACTCGACAATTAATTTTCAACTCATTCAGTTTCTGGTAATAGGGCGTATAACATGCTCTCTAAACGATACATTACAAATATATTATACAATTTTCGAAGTGGTACCAAAGATCATGCTACACCGATCTTTCGTGGTAGGTACCTTCCTTGTCCCAGTTTTTTTAGTTACCATCAAGGCTTTGGCAAAATCGCGGCTCTTGCAAAAAATTTCTTTTGACCGCATTTTCATTCACCATCCTTGCATTAGTTAATTGTTACTCAATTTCTAGCAATTTGATCTCAGATCGAATAAGTTTCCTTGGAGAATAGTCTATGAGAAGTTCAAATAGTTTCCTCCACTTGCAATAAAAAAATAAATTGTTAATTTGAAAATAGTAGGGCGACCCCCCATAATTGCACACAATCCAATGCAATTGAACATATGCTTACCTAGTTTTTTTTGTATCGCTAAATAAATGGATGTTTTAGTGCGAAAGGACCAAACATAGAATATATTATTTTAAATTTGAATTATATTGTTACTTTGGCAGATTAGTGCGATTGATTTAGAATTTGACTAGACTGACGCCTGACTGATAATAGCTACGATTCTTGTTTAATATGGAGAACATTATAAAATAATTCATTTCAGATGGACTGCACCGCGATGGCGCTGTTATATTGCTCTATACGGGATTCTTTGAATGTAAAATAAAAGTGTCAATTACATTTCTCTTGGTACGTGTACCATTGTTCTGGTTAACAGGGATCTGATCGAAAAAGTACGAATTGTTTTGGATTCTAC